AGACCCATTCTAGTCCCACCAGTGAGATCATCTTTCCTCAGGTGAATGTTTATCAATATCTTTAGGTGATCCAATCATACTTCCTTAGAGCTGAGTACAGATCAAGACTCTTGGTGTTGGGCTGCTGCAATTGTTCGTGCTCCATCTGGAAGTCCAGTTGCAATCCACTCACCTGTTGCAAGCTGTTGAAGGGCATAGTGGATGACACGTGGCTGTAGATCTGGATTCTCCATGGACAGTGTCTCACAATCTCACCAGTAAAGTAAATAGAAGATATTGCAAGCACAGAACAAAGCATCAGTAAAACACCATGCCAGTGCCGCACTGGGGGAAGGCAGTGTAGACTAGAAGAGTTCATACAGCTGACATTAGCAGTTGAACCAGCAACAGCCAATGGATTCTACTTAGGATCCAAGTCTAGCACAACCAGTGAAATAGCATCTCCAAATGAAGGTAGAACAAATTCTCCCCCAACCCATTTTTCAACACCATTCCAAACTGAAACATGAGCAGTACACTACCATCCCCCAGGCAGGAACAGAAGGCCTGGTGCAGCTGGTCAGAAAAGGAGATAGATTGTTGAGCATACACATATACCATGTTCCCTGAGTACTCTGGAAAAGACTCTGTTTGCTTGATCTATTTTGGAAAAATGCTATCTGAACACAACAGCACCCCACATCCACTGGGAGTCGTCCAGCCCTGTGCCTGGCCAGAGTAATCACATGACAAATGAGGCATTAGATTGCCAATTCAAAATGTTCCACAAAGGCTACTACCATCAAAGTATAAGAACCACGGAGATGGATGTTCTGAAGAGCTACCAGCAGAGATCAGATCTTCTGAATGGTGACAGACTGATATAATTCCTCTCCTCAGAAGTTGTTAATTCAAAGCCTCTAGAATTATGCACACCAAGAAACTTATTCACACCTAAGCAAAGTCTGCTGAGTGAAGGAAAATACCCAAGAGATGATATGGTAGACTGGGCCAGCCCTAGCTAGTTTTAAGCTCTCCACAGTTCACTCCTTCCCTACATTTCTGTATTCCCTCCTTTGTAACCCCCATCTCCACACTCTGTATTCTGTCCTCATTGTTTCATGCCCTCCTCCCTTTGGACTCCCCTTCTCTTTTCCAAGTTCTATCCCATACTTGTTTCCATTCATGCCATCTACACTCATTCTAATCTCTCTTCCCCCTCTTAATTTCAGAGTCCCACCTTAACCTCACAGCCACCCATGCCTTTTCCCTACAACCTCCATGATATCTGCTCCTTCCACTCTCAAGTACCCCATTAAAAGACAAAATGATCTGAACTTACCCACTTTCTCCCAAAAATGTTTGTGCACAGAGAGCCACCTCTGAATGAGTTCCTTAAGGTTTTCTTCTTAGCGAATAGATGTTTATTTGGAAACCTGTATTAAGTTATAATTTTGCTTCAGACATCTATCGCCATTTTGTTCTACATGACTTATCAATTTCATACTTGCAAGTGAGGTAAATCTGAATGCACAATATGAAAAATAATCAGTATAGTAGCATCATATACACATAAAACAGCTGACCTTGATTCTGAATGTTCTACCAATAAATATTGGTTTTAAAAACAGAAAGCAGAAGCTCTAATTATTAAAACTTGAAGTACTAGGAGTGGAGAGATCACCTTGGCACTTTCTGGTCATTAGATATTAGGAAATTTTGCCTTGTGGTATGAACATATTGATATAGTAATGGATTTAGCTCCTACTATTATCATATGGTTTATAAGGAGATACTATTCCTATATTCTACTTAGGAGGAAAATAAACCGCATAAGAGTGATTTGTATGATGTTTTGGTTACTCTGGATATTTATGTTGAGGCTGCAATAGAATTTCTTCTGTGGTGCACATACATTAGATGTAATAGAATAGAATTTATTATAGCTTAGTACATTAGGGAAAAGAGGAGATTCTTAAAGAAAGCAATGCAATACAGACAATTTTTCCTCAAGCAATTGTACATATCAACTGTTCTGTAGCCACAATGAACTCTCTAGGTAATGGCTATAGTATATATAATTTTTTATTATAGAAATTTATTTCTCCCCTCCCACAAGGGACCAAAAAGGAGTTGTGTCTACTTGTAAAGGATGCAAATGAGATCACATGGAAACTTTGTGGTTAAAATAGTGTAATCCTTTTCATAGTTAAGACCATTTTATCCAGCACATAAATGTTTTCCTCTTAACTGTGAAAGTTGGCTGACCTGTCAAAATGTTCCTATGAAAATTTATACAAGTATTGCATGTTCTTTGTAAAAGGATTGCAGATATACAGATTAAGTTCATAGTAGATGCCAAATATACTGATATGTGGATATAGATTATATATAAAACTATTAGCAGCTGTATCAAGATGTAGATCATCCCATCTGATTTCCAATTACATAGACACAAACAGGAAATAGATATTTGAGGCTTTTTCCTTTTCAGTGAGTGAAGATAGTAATGTGTTCCTCCTAATTCTGTTACTCTCTCCATAACTCAAAATGGCTATTTTCTCTCTTTGTCAATGTGGCTCTGATATAATTGGTTCCTATACCGTTTAGGCAGTTTAGCTACTGTCATATAGAAATCACCCTAGTAATTCCATGTGGAATTCCAGTATATCTTTAGATAGCAATGTTATGTAAGCTGGTTTCAGCAAAATGCTGGAAGACAACTGAGGGCTGACTGGAGCCAAAAATGTTTATTTTTTCCTCAGGTTGGTGATTAAACTCTGAAGGATTTTTATTGGAGTCAGGTAAGGGAGGCAAATGGGGATCTGCTCATTCCCATATTTCCCTGTCATCTTAGTTTTAGAAGAGGGGTGGAATACTCCCTGCAGAAGACCTGATTTGGTTGTCTGCTGATAGAGGTGATAGCAGCCACAGGAAACAACAGGATTGTCATCAATCTTTATACCTTTTAAGTGTAGGACAATCTGAAGGGAGTTTAAGTTGGTTAAAGAAGGCAATGATAGGGGTAAAAATGCTTGCTGATTATTTGATTTTGTTTTCTCTGTGACTATATATCTACACACAGACACACACGATGGGGATAGCTAAGATCATCAAATAAATATTGAAGAGTAGGATACAAGCTGATCCAATACAAGCAAAAACTGCACCACCTGTCTGTACCTTCTTCGTGCAACTAAGATGAATAATGTTTGATGAATATTTCATTACATTATATACAAGGCCTCATTTATCACTTGTCAACTTCTCCAAAAGCCAATATAGCACATCACAGGTTACATGAGTTTTGATGACACCAAGCGCTATGGTCAATCAACCAAACAATAGTAAATACATTATGCATCCAGATGATTGAGCACTCAAGTGTACAAAACAAACATAAAATACCATGGACTTAACAGAGACACCGGTTTTATGGCTCATTACAAAATTTGTAACACACCCTGCTGCCTAACACTTGGTTGCCCACTTAATTTCAAGTGGTCTCCTACAGCACGTATGAGCCCCTTATGCTTAATCTGTTCCACCTTGTATTTAGCTGGGCACTCTGATTACCTTCTCCAGACCTGAGAAGGAGCTCTGTGTAGCCTGAAAGCTTGTCCTTTCTACCAACAGTCGGTCCAATAAAAGATACTATCTCACCTACCTTGTCTTTCTCATAAAATATTGAGGGTTTGTTTTTTTAATTCCACAGTAAATCCACCAATTTTGTTAACTGAGAAGCTGAATTTTATTGTACCAGCAATTTGTTCTATGTTTCTCCTATTAAAATCATAATGTGTCAGGTTCAGTGCATCCTCAGTAAATAATGAACATAATATTTTATCAGTAATTTAGGACAACTATACAGCTTCAACTTACACCTCTACCCCGATATAACGCTGTCCTCGGGAGCCAAAAAAAATCTTACTGCGTTACAGGTGAAACCGCGTTATATTGAACTTGCTTTGATCCACTGGAGTGTGCAGCCCCGTCCCCCCCGGAGCACTGCTTTACCGCGTTATATCCAAATTCATGTTATATCAGGTCGCGTTATATCGGGGTAGAGGTGTACTTTAATTTTCAAACTGAGATAGGTACAGAATGCTAATTTGAGATAACACTTAAATATTTAATATATTATAAATTGATATTTTTATTATGTTTAATGGCTATGAATAAAAAAATTCACAGGCAAAAGACATTCTCTTGACATGGCAGAGGAATTAAAAGCCAATTTAATTTCAAATTTATGATGATTAAAAGGCACTGAATTAGATTTTATAGAGTGAAAAATGACACTGTAGAATTATATAGCTCACTTTTACTACCATTTCACTTTACCTATAAAACTACATCTTTGAAAATCTATAATCCAAGTGTCTTCCATCACTGTCATAAAATTGACTTCTTTGTAGTCAAACAAGAATGCTGGGTGACAGCTATTCTTACTGCGCTCTAGAAGAATGTGTCAAAGTTACAGACTAGAGGGGATTTCTGATATCTGGCAAGCTTCTAGTAATTAGTTTTATAATCAGTTTAACCTATTTTAAGATGCAAGTATATGGCTAGATGATTTAATGGGTTACTGGATTTCACCTCCGGAAATCTGGTTAATAATTTTTGACTACATTATAGTTGCCTAGATTGTGGACATTTGTCCACAGTGTAATACTACATTTTAAAGCACAATTGCCAATTCATGCTCAGGGGAAACCTAGAATTTGACTAGCCAAAATGTTTCAGGTCTTGACTGAAGCGCAGATGTGGAAGCTTATGCAGCAAATGTACAGACTATAGGCTTGGTTCTAAACAGTGCTATATCACATCTTCCTTTCAAAAAGAGTTCAAATTCACTCACTGATGCTGTTTTATACAGGAAGAGTGGATGACTCAGTGGATTAGTAGTGCAATATGGAGTCCGTCTGTGATATTGAACCATATTTCTAGCCCTCAGGAACCTTCCCTCTCTCATCAGTTAGAGAGAAAGTGGAGGGAAAGAAGAAATATCCTTCCCTTCCCACCCAAGCAGTCTGATGTGGAGAAATGAAAAAGATGGAGCTGCAAAGTCACAAAATAATCAGGATATCCTCATAACATTGCATCACCAATAAGTCACTGATTATGGACAAAATGCAATATGAAGATGGTTATTTTTTGGCTCTCTGAGACACTATCTGATGACAAAGTAGTTCTCCAGCTCTTAGAAACTGAGAATTATTAACTTATCAGTTTCTAATTGGCCCAAGCTGGTACTGATCTTAACCCTTCACCATCTGCTGGATGTTGGTGGCCTGTATAAAATAATTTGGTATTCTTACCTATGCGTCCCTGTCACAAAGTCACATTGGGCACCCTTTTTGGCATACTATGAGTCCAGTGAGTGAATGGGCATGAAGACTCAACTATCCTTCCATTTTAGAAAGGAAATAATTAAATTGTAATGGTGAGGCACGTATCAAGAGATTGGATTCCGCTTCACAAGTTTACTTTTTCTAATTTAATAGGCAAACAGAAAAAACATGCGAAGTGTGGAGTGCAAACATTCTTTGGTTTACTCATAAAATAGAAGACATATCAAAGAGCAAAAAAACTTGGCAATTAAATACATTGCAAAGTTCTTGATAAGCTTCCGCACAAAAATTCCTCAGGTGTTTGAAATGTTTTAGCACGTTACAGTGTTTGGGGAGTCACATATTTTTTGTACCAGTGAAAAGAACTAGATAACATTTTTTGATTTAATCTGTGGTATTGTAAATGCCTTCTCTCTATTTGTTAAACAGTTGTTACTATATGTAACCCAACAACATAAGCTCACTATATATAAAGCAAACTGCTGTGGAATTTATTTAGCCTTCAGATGCTTATGTTATCTAAATTCACATTACCATATATGTGATCTTAATGTGCAGAAATACATCGACCCTTACGTTTTCAGAAGAGGATGGATATAGTAGCAGGACTCCCATGTTAATTAATGAGCGTTCTTAGCTCACTCACTGCATTTTATCTTTTAATTGCACATGGAGTTTTAAAATTCTGAAACAGAATTATATATCACAGGTGCTTTCTTCTACAACACTATTCAGTCTGTAGAATGCATTTTCCAAGCCAGGCTGAATTATTGTAGTTTACTGTTCCTGAAATAATCAAACTTAACAGGCATCAGAGTTGATCTGCAAGGGTCACTGGGTAGGTTTTCAAACATAACTGATTTTCATTACTGGACTGCAGATTAACAATGCAGTTCAAATGCTGCACAAAAGTATCAGGGATATGACAACTGTAAAACTGAACTGTTCATAAAGGCAGCACAAGGAAGCTGTTATCTACACATATACATAGAGCACATGTGAATATAAATGCATCAAATATATATTCTTTTTAACATGTGAGTTAAAGAAATTACAGAATGTACCATCACCATGCCAGTCTGATACAAAAAATAGCCTTTTGATGATTTATAAATATTACTCTAAATGTAAAATTACATAGTTGGATTGTTTGACTACATATAATTTCATTTTATCATCTACTTCACAAGAGTCTTCCTCTACTTGAGCAGCTCCATTTCACAACCTTTATCTAGCCGTTTCCTTAGGCAAAGCACACTAAAGCAGTATTGTTCGAAGTCTTTGTTCCAGGTTGACTGGGAATAGCAATAGATGGCTCATAATACTCAGTTTGGTAAAGATTTTTCTGAAGCATCTGTTATATTCAAAAAAACTACTTTTGTATGGTCCCTTATTCCTTCATAAATCAGCAGTGTTCCTTCTACAAATTATACACGAGCAGTCAACCGTAATGCGAGTACTTATATGTTTCCCTCATCTAGCATTTTGTTGACACCATCACAAAGTTTCTGCAAGTGGGGCTTATAAGGTCCGAAGGGATTGTATAAGGCAGCCAAAAATTCACAATCAGAGAAATGATCAAACACGTTGTTGACACGTCCATGTGATTTTGCAGTTAGGTGACGTTGGATGATTTGATGAAGTATCTCTCTACAATCATTCAACAATTTGGACAAAAAAATCCTGTCAAAGGTATAATCCACCTGATGGAAACTGACCACGGTTTTAGCCAGCTGATGAACCTTCTTCTTAAACTTCTCCATCAGTGCTATTTCTTCCTGATTAAACTGGTTATTCCTGTAGAGAATTGCCAATTTGATGACTGTTTTGATGAGATTTTTAATGATCTTTTCTGCTTCTTTCTTGTTTTGAGTGTATTCCCTTGTCACTCTGTAGAGCTCATCTAAAACATCACTGCTGGTATCGTCTATCAAGGTAGTTGCTATTGATTTGGATACCATTTTGCCAAGGATCTTCTTCTGGGCCTGAATGGCCAAGTTTTTGGAATTGAAGATATCCGTGGCCACTGGAAAAAAACAGAGTACAATCACTAGATCATTACAGGCACATTACTGACAGCATGTTAAAGAACATTTTCCTGCCCATATCCATTTATTTTACAGTTGGCATACCATATTCCTTCAAAAGTAATGGAATTAATCATCAATAATGTGTGAAAACTGCAGTTTCGGTTCACAGACTTCCTGTGGCTCTTGGTATGATTTGTGTAGGTCTGCATTCACTGAGTTTGTTTTGGGTTTGAATGAACACAAAAAACTAAGTGAAACTCAACCAAAATGGATGAACATAAAGGCCTAGATAAAGCGAATAAACATGTGTGAACACAACAATACAGATTTTGCTGGGACACGAATTGGCTTCTGGCTGCACCCCCCCCAGTAGTTTTAGGCTGTCTGAAAGGAAACCCTTTATCTGTTTACATTCATTTCACATATGGAAGGTTTTCTTTGCAAACACGGGACTGGATTTTTTTTTTTGTTTAATAAGATGAAAGCATATTCTGCAGATGCCCATGGGCAAAGTTCTGCATTTGGAAGAGAAAGTTTCCTACTAGCCATGTGTATATATGTTCAGATACACAGTTGCCAGCAGATATAAAGGGTATTTGTTCAAAGGGGCATTTGTTAAGCTATAAAACTATATTTCCTCCTTCACGGCATCTTTGAAAAACTCACAACAGAATCCCATTCTAGGATTTGGAAAGCTTCCAGCCCACTTAATGAAAAAGTAACCACATTCTGCACAGTTAATTAATTAAAAATCTTAGATCATTTGAGTATATCTTTTTAAAGAGCTAGTTCTTACCAGATGAGGATACTGAACTACCAAAGAACTCATTGTTAGCTATTTTGGGAGCAGTAATCAAGCTCACAAGACAAACCGGCTTTTCTAAACCATGTGGGTCTGAGAAACAGCTAAGGATCATAACTAGCCAATCAGAAAAGTGAAAAATACTTCAACAGTTTTTGTATTTTTAAAATGTAATAATAAATCTGTGTTGCTATTTAAATAAAAACAATCAACATATTTTAAAAATCATCAAGTATGAAAAGCCACTAACCAGTGCTTAGGATAGTAGAGATCTATTTTTATCAAGTAAAGATGAGCTTCCTTTGAATTATGATTGCCCCTTTACTATAACAAAAATAATTAAAACCACATCCCCTATGTTTCCTAAATGCTCCTTGATCATCTTCTTACCAAACCATGAATATTGTCCTTCCCTGGCTTTATTTGTTAAGGCCAAAATCTCAATGATTTCTGATGTTCCACAAATTTATACAGATTTCTTCTGCTTTGATAGGAGCACTATGATGGCTTACAAAGTACCTTTCCAACTCTTCAGGAATGAAAAAGCAAAAACAAAAATTTATTTCATTATTTTCCTCTTTGCATTTATACAAATGCTAAAAAGGGCATTTATCCAGATGCTATAGCCACCCTTGCCTTAAAACTACATCACAAATAATACCTCAATATAACTTAAAGAACTTGCTACTAGCAAGCACCCCTCCTCAAATCAGCCTCTAACCATTTCCTATCCTTACAAACCCAGCCATTAATGGTTTTGACACTCCAAAACCCCACACAGAGAGCTTTTCTAAAACAAAGTCATAATTGAACATTTGACTTTTTCTTAAAAAATAAAAACAAAACAAAAAGACCCAGCCTTAAACATATGATTACGGTGGTGTTAGCAAATAAAGAGTTCTCTCTCACCTGCATATGAATGTCAGATTCTGAATGGTTGCCCTATATGTTATTAAAATGCTGGGGCTATGTCGCTTGTACTACTTTCTATACATCTACATTAGTGCTGTTAGAGCACAAGTCAACTTTCATTTCTTTAATTTGTCATCATTCCACAAGTTTTGATCCGGCTGTCAAATACAAACTCTGTATCTTAAAATGTTATTCTAAAACCCAGTTGGACTATATTATGAACATTTATTTCTTGGTTTCTCTCTTCTGTTATCAATACCAGAAAAAGAATTGAAGAATTAAAATGCAATTTATTTACAAAGTACTTAAATAAAACTGAGTTTAAGTACTGAAAGGAATCAGTCTTCAAAGTAAAGACAAAATTTCCCTTGAGAAAGTTAAAATTTTACTTACTGTTCATCAACAAGTAGAATTACAGCTTTTACTGAGATGGTGATGCCAAAGTCACGTTTCAGGTATAGTCACAATGTGTATGAGGCGAAGACTGGACTGGTAGCTTGTTAATTAAATTTAACACCAATACTTTATCACAGTAGCCTAATATACTCCCCTCAAATAGCATCGGAATCTGATACAGATTTAAAGTTTTTTCATCCTCTCTTTGTGACAATCTCATAAAAGCATTTTCTTCTGAACTACCTTTTTCTTTTCAGCCTGAATTGCTCCATTTCACTTTGGCAACTCAAAGTGCAAAAATTATAGTGAAGTAGTTTCACTTCCTTGAAAGGAAAGCTTAAAGGAAATTGCATTGCTGAGCAAGCAATGTAACATTAATAGCCGTTATTGGTAACTGACATCTGGGACAATGAACAAAAATGCAGAAAGAACAAAGGTAAAGTAACTTAGAAAGGGCATACTTGGTTCTTTGGAAGGGAAGGGACCCCTATCTCCTGTAGCTAAGTGCTTATTTCCTGATTTCCTATTTATGAGCTATTCGTTCAAACTAAAAATGAACTTATTTGAACAAAACATGTTTAAACTAAACAGGCCCAAACTAAAATCAGATTTTTGATTACCCAAACTAGGCCTGCAATATATTAACAGATAAGTTATTAAATATTTTTCCTATAGGTTTGCATTAGCGATGCGTATGAAGCAAACCTCCAGATCTCAACCTCTGCACTTTCTGGGGAAGGTTTGAAATCTGAAGTTTAACTTTTTTAGCCACATCTCTAGTTAATGTGTATTCTAATACACTGGTTTAATTATCTTTTGCCCTTAGCTGTAAAACTTATTTGACCTTCAATCCATTAGCAAAAGATGGCTTCCAAAACATTCAATCATTAGAAATCCAACAAGATAATAACACGGATTTTTTTTTTAATTGTAGTAAATATATTTGTAGAGGGAATACAGGATATGTCCATTAGCAACTCAAGACCATTCATGAAACTTTTCTAAAAGCCAGATTCCAAAAGCAAATAGGTTTTCCATTTTAGCCTGCAAAGTATAAAAGATTAAAAAAAAGAGTAATCGCTGGCTGAACATTGCATGCTGAAAGAACACATTTCGAGAAATGTGGCAACTGATTTCCTGCCTGTCTTCCTGCATGGACAAGTGCATTTGCCTCAGTATTGCTGTGGGTGTGAATCATGTTACAATCTTTGCACAAGATTAGGATCTTACATTCTTAGTAAGATAGACTCCTAGAGTGAGGGGCACTGTCTTACACCTGAGGGGCATCTACTTGAAAACAAGTGGGAGGAGCAGTACTGTTAGTGCCAAGTGTTCAAATATCACACGTGGCTTGAATTCATGAAACTTAAAACCAATACTTTTTTATTTATTATTTTCTTACTTATTATCTGCTGGGTTTTGAGCCTTTAAGGTTTATGTTTTCAAGCAATAATAAGTGCTAGAAATTTAAAAAAAAAATACTGAGGTCATCATCTTATCACATGATTCCAGCAAAATAAAAACCACCAAATATCATTAAACTTGTGATAAAATTGCAGAAGTTGACAACACTGCAGGAGCAGCTTCTGACAGATGAGTGGATAAAATCTGCAGCAGGCAAAAGTAGACAATCCTGTGTGTATTCCCAGAACCCTGTCTCTGCCACACATTTTACTGTGCACTGATCATAAAGATAAAAATATAAGAGAGGCAACCTGATGTTTTGAACTCTGCCATCATAACGTATAGCTTCTTCCTAATTAGTGTCACATTTTCTAAGGCTTTGGACATTATCTTTTTAACGAAAGACTTGATGCTTAGATTCTAATGTGCAATAAATACTACAGATCATATCTTGGGTGAAAGCATATTAAATTTAGCTCTTTAAAAAAAAAAAAGCTCAAAACATTCCTTAATGTACTGCAGCAGTTCCCAGACTGTGGTCCTCAGAACACATGCCAGTGTTCTGCAGCAAGCTGGCTGGCACTAGTGCTCCTTGTTTTCAGGTGCTTCTACGGGTGTTCAAAAGTAGCTGAAAACAAGAAGCCATCCTAGCTGCTTTAACAAAGAACTGATACTACGGAGGAGAGGAAACAGGAGTCAGCCACATGGAACAGAGCCAGCAATGGGACTGGAGCTGCCAAACAACAGTAGGAGTGGAGAGAAAAGGGACTGAAACAGCTGAACAGAATATCCAGTGGAATAGAGGGAGGAGAGGACCAGAGAGCTTGGACAGTCAGTCCAGGGGAGAAGAAAACTAAAGAACAGAAGTAATAGCAAGGAGAGAGAAAGGAATACAATAGATATGAGGGGAATATCAAATGAAGAGCAAAAAAGAGCAACTAACTTATTTCAAAAATGACAAAGCAACAACCTTCATTAAATGCCTTCCGAATAGCAAATGTCTCCATATAGGCAATTATTATGGTAGGCACAAGGAAGTTACATGATGGCTATAGGAGATGAGGCAGATCCACAAGGTAATCACTCTGAAAAGATGATCTATACTTAGAATACATTTTAAGGTGAGAAGGCACCAGCGTGACTATCTAATCTGATCTCCTGTAAGGGTTAAAAAACCCCACAGGATTACTGGTCTAGTGGATGGGGAGAAGCAGTCGACGTAATACATCTTGATTTTAGTAAAGATTCTGACACAGTCCAAACATGACAATCTCTGAGGAAACCAGCGAAATGCAGTCTAGGTGGAATTACTAGAAGGTGGGTAAACAACTGTTAGAAAGATTGTACTCAGAGTAGTTATCAATGGGTCACTAGCAAACTGGGAGGGCATATCTAGTGGGGTCCTGCAGGTCCTGGGTCAAGTACTATTCAATATTTCCATTTATGGCTTTGATAATGGAGTGAAGAGTATGCTTATAAAAT